CTATACATGAGCTACCCAAAGCAGGCTCAGCTTGTCTCTCAGGAAGAGCTGCTAACGACTGCTCTGAAACCCCATTGCCCATCTTTCCAAACTATTTCAGTGTCTGCTTCTCAGCCGATACACTTTGATCACGCATTCTTAAAAACATTTCACCGTTTCCTCCTCGCTGCCTTGCTCTGTGAGCCAATCCCGCAAACACGTGCAACTCGCCCCATCGGTGGGCATATGGGGCGAGTGCCGGAAGGGACAGGTCCCTGCAGGGGAACCCGTGGGGCTGGTTGAGAGGGGACATGTGGCTGCAGCAGGGCTGCCCAAGCCAGACTGGGCTCAAACTAAGTTCAAGTATTCTCTGTAGCTATAAATAATGACAGGCAAGATGTCAACATTGTAAACAAGTAACTATTTAGTATTTTTTCCTTACTATACGTAATCCTTTTAGGAATGATCTGCAAGGGCATGTTCTGTGTACTGCTTCTCTAAAAAAAACTCTTTCTCTTTGCATTAACGTTAGAAATCTAGGTACTGGCTAGGTAGGAAAACTTGAAGAGAAGGAAAAAAAATAAAGGCGGAGACACTGGAAAGTCAATACAAATTAACCTTTCAACCCTGACTGCTCACCGCTCTGAACGAAGCCTAATTGCACGGAGGTGACGTGAAAGCAGCTGCCCCCTCCTCGTCCTCTCTCCCCGTGGGCCCAGCAGCATGGGCACGTCATCGGATCTGACCACCAAGCTCCAAACCCACCACCTGGGACCAGGCAGAAACGCTCCCATGGCCCTGAGGAGACCCTCCTCGAGGCCAGGTGTCCTGTCGTACTGGCTGCTCCCATGGCACGTACAGACAAAACCGTAAAAAAAAAAAACCTACTGGAAGATAAATTCATGTTTAAAGACTCTTGGAAATGTTTACACTGCAAATCCACATGATTTATGTTATTGCCCTTTGATTACAGTATTAATTAACCAAGCTAAGCGCTGTGACTGCCAGGCGCTAGCTGGCGCACAGGGAATTGGACGGGGCTGTGGGTGATGGCAACCATGCAGCGAGGAGCCTGGGAAAAGGCAGCAGCAGCCAGGGAGCGTTCCTGGCCTGCAGCGCTGAGCTCTCACGCTCACTGGTGACACCGGCAACATCTCGCTGGCTTTAATGGCATTGGGCGGTGAAACTGGATTAACTTCATTCATGTAATGCACTGCAGTGCACTTCCTCCCATGAAGTCCCTATCCCTTTGACTTGCTGCCCTTCGGGCATGGAGACACCTGCCTTTGCGCCTGCACACGAACAAACGGGGGGAGCAGAAGCCAAAGCGGGCTCGCTTTTCCATCCACAGGAGGACGGGCTTTGAAAACAGAAGCCGCCTTTTTCCTAACAACAACAACAACAACCACAAAATATAAACCATACAAAATTTAAAATCTGTGAACTAGCAAGTGAGTCATTCAGTGAGTATTCAGAAGAGAACTAGAGTTTGTGGAGAGAGATGCTTACTGGTACATGCCTTACTCAGTAGTGCCTTGAAAATGCCATTCTAGAAATCTTACATGTTGGGAGGAAACAAAGTATGCAGAAATGAAATTAAAATAGTAGCAACATGGTACTATAAATATTTTTTGCCATAACAAGGCCTAGTCTTATCTTTCCTCAACCTTATTTTTCTGTCTTAATAGTTTTCTGAAATGGACTCTTCTCTTTTCGCCTGCACGGCAGGAAGTCTGTGCAAGGAAAAAGATTTAATAAAGCCTGGAGCAAGAATGAATTCACACCTGCATGAATGCTCTGAAATATCAGAGGGTGCCTGATGCATACAATCTTTCTACAGAGGAAGATTCCTTTCTACAGATTCCTTCTACAGAAGGAAAGAAGAGACAAACCCAGCTAAAGTCCAGACAGGCTGCACAAAACAGGCTGCTTTTTCTAGTTGGATCCCTGTCCGTAAACAGGAGCATCTGTCTGTTAGGAAGGAGAGAAGCTTTCCTCCGTGCAGGGAGCTGCTGCCAGACACCAGGCTCCACCCAGAGGTGTCCTGCCTGTGACCACTGAACATCTCCACTACGAAAAGAGCAGCAAGAAGTACTAGGCCACTTTTCAGAAGAGCAAAACAAGCTGCGAGTGCCACGCTGACTCAGGGGAGCTAAAAGGTTTAAAGCTGCTGACAGGGGGGAAGCATAACGTCAGCGTTTTCAGGAAGGAGTCAAGAGCGTCTGCCTGCATCGGGGGTCCTACAGGACAAGTTGCAGCAGTCAGCATTCCTGGCTCTACCATCTTCTTTTAAGTCCAGAGAAACAACAAAATCATCCTGCCAAGGTGCCCGGTCACATCTCAGCTCCAGGTCCTTGTGCATCTTCTGCAAATAGCCCCTTCACGGAACGCATGCCCAGGTGCATATGAAAAGGCCTCTCTTCTATCATTTTTTATATTCTAAACAACTAGATGCAGTGAATACACTTGGTCCAGCAATATGCAAAACCATGAATAAGAAGGCCCTAAGAACAACTACTGCTATTAATTGAATGACTCATAGTTTTCTGATCTTCCTAATGATTTCTTTATAAGAAGCCAAATAACTTTGCAGCAAAAAGAGGCATATGCACATACACCCACATATACATGTATACATCTGTATATAGATAGGTTCAGTGATGAATGAAGTGCTGTTGGTTTTCCAGAGTCAAGTGGCTAGTTCCAACCCTTTGCAGTTTTCTTATGAAACAACTTCTTAAATGAATTCCTAATTTTGAATCTGCATTTATTGCTTAACTTGGTTTTGAAGAAGTATTTAGGAGACAACTTCTTGAAGGAACTGTTTTCATTCCACTAGCTCAGGTATAGAACTAGTTCTATACTAGGAACAAGTACGACAACCCATTCAAATTGCATTAATTTGAACTCTACTCTTAAAGTTATACTGTAGGTCTTTAAAAAAGGTGTGTGTGTGTGGGGGGGAGATAGATAATAGATACCTGTATAACAATTCAGACAACAGTTTTTCCTAGGAGATGGCCATCAAAACAAAGGCATCTGCATGTTCCTTTTCCGGGAGGACTGCACTGAACCCCCTGCTTTAGCCTGCCACGTCACAGTGGCTTACCAACTCCAGAAACAGCTATTTCTGGACAACGCGTCAAGTTGCGCTGCGGTTATGTGTTTTTAGCAGCATCGGTGGGAACCTCCTCTGAATGCCCCCACCCAGCTTGACCACCTCATGCAAGAACAATCAGGCAAGGTCTCTGGAGAAAATAACCTTTTTGTCTCTTCTCAGAAACTTACTGTTACAGGATGAAAGGTTTCTATCTACTCAGGGCAGTTTCTCTCTGTCCCCTTGCTTAAGGGTTAAGGATAGCTTCTCCCCCTGCTCCCTTATCAGTTATGTTGTATGGAGGAGCAGAGGATACTGCTGCTGTAGTTGTTTCCAGGTCTGAGAGAAAAGAGCAGAAAATTCAATAGCTACAGCAAAGCAGAGCTGATGTGGGTGTTATAGAGTAGGAGAATGAGGGAGGCAGAATTAAATCAACTGGTAGGAAAAAGATTTGGGAGAAAAAAAATATTTAAAAAAAAACAAAAAACCCCAAATTATTTGAGCCCTCTACTCCTCCCTTATAAATGTCTTATGGGAAGAGGCAAGAGAAATAAAAGGGTTAAGAACAAGGACTAAGCCTGTCAAGCCAGGCAGGATAGCTAAAACAAATGGATCCTTTCATGCTAAGTTGGATTTGCCCAGTGCAATGTTTATAGTTGGGCAATAAATACACAAAAAGCCTTATTATTTTGCCAAGGAGCTAGAAATACCCTGCCAGCCAAGTCAAAGCCACTTCTTTCTAATTTGAGACTCCAGTGCAAACTGAAGTTCTCTCATACAGATGTACAGTTATATGGAGTGATGGGGTTTTTCTGAACCTTAAAATAAGCTTTCAGCAAATTGTTACTGAGCAGGAGGTAAGCCAAAGCCCATGCACCATCTGAATCCAGCCCTCATGGTAAACGTTTCAGGAAGTGCCAGAAAACTGCATTCATCTGCTGATGTGGCTCAAAGAATATTCTTTACCCTGAGTTTTTTTCCCCCCCAACTGCTTCCTCAGACACTCTTCTGTCGTGTCTTCACAGAGCTGGTTTTACTCAAGTTAAGCAATAAACAAACCTGTCATTTATAGCGTTGAAAAACATGCTTGAGGCTTGAGCTTAAATCGGAAAGTTGAGAAAATTCAGCAAACACCGTACTTAGTTTTGATACTCCTACCTGCAAGAGATGTCAGCCATTCTCTCATAAGAATGAAAGAAGTTACGTCTATATATATTATTTTTTTGACTAAGGTACAGCTTTGAGGCTCTTAAATCGCATTAGCACTGTTCACAGGACACTTCTGAATACAGTCTCCAGCACTCCCAGGTACCCACGCAGCACGTCTGAAAGGAGGAACCCACCAGAGGCTGGAACTTGCAAAGCAGTTAACTGCCCAAAACATCAACCCTGAAGTCTCAGAGATGCAGATATAAGCCCTGGTACCAGCTTTCACAGTTACAGTTCAAGTCAGACAAGGGCTTGGGTCCATCTGACCTAAGTCAGGGCACTTGGCTGAGCCAAGCACTACCAGTTTCCTTCATAAGGAAGGGGAAGGCTCCTCTGAAAATGCCCAAGAGCCCACCTCCTTCCAGATACACATTTCCCTCTGCAGACAGGGGCAGGAGCCTTGGGCAGCCAAGTTCCTAACAGTGGCATCTTTAAGTAAGTGCCTGCTGTGGCAACCAGCCCAAACTACACTCCTTGTTCAGTGGAAAACTAGAGGTACTTACCTAGAGCACCCCTCAGTGGGTACATGGGCAGACTTGAGAGCCAAAGCCTTCTGCACGGAAGAACAGTGCTTTCTCCTCCCAATTCACCTGTTGTCATCTACTCTTAAGAAATATCATTTCAACAGGGGTGCTTTAGAGCTGGGATGTAATAACATGAAAAACCAAACTACTGGATTTTCAGCTTTTATTTAAAAAAAAAAAGTGACATCACATTTACATTTCAGAATATTTTTAAACAAGGCCTTCTTGTTAAAGCTTTAGATATTTAAGAAAAAGGGTCTACATGATTCACACCTGCATGGAGCTTTGCAGATCACACAGTAATCACCAAACAGCTATATTGCACAAGGATCCACACAATACCACACCATTCTTAGCTTAGTCTACATTGTAAAGTGCTGTTTTGTAGGAAGAAAATTGGTTTGGAAAAAAAAAATATCTGGATAGGCAAGTACCGTTGAACTGCATTTTGAAGAGATGACACTTTTCCATTGTAGTGAAAAAAAAGCCTTTGCTTCTGACAATACGTTTTGTATTTAATAAATTGGAGTAAGCACCATATAGTACTGTAATGAATGTGTCCAAAGTATTCAAGTAACACCAAATGCCAAATCAATTTTTAAACTCAGAGTGAGATAAATACAGACATATCAAAACCTAGATTAATGTTCTCGTCAAAGGATGAGCTTTTAAAGTAGCATCAGTCTCTGTCCAGTAGAGTAAGTAATTGCATAGCTAAGCACATCTTAAATGAATGTGAGGTAAGGCGAGAGTAGAAAAAAAATAAAGAATTCTTCATCCCTCACCTCTGTTCTCAAACCAGATTTAAAAAAAAAAAAAAAAAAAAAAAAAGGAGTGAGTCTGAGGGACTCTTAGTATTTAAGACAAAGTGTTTACTTTACAAAGATTTCATTAAACAAACAGTAATCAACTGCTACATCCTAGGGATACCAATTCAGATGTTTCCAAAGAATCTCAGTGCAGAATTGTGGAATGCTAACCGTGACATAAAATGTGCCATTTAGACCAGTTTCTGAAACAGAAGAGTCAGAAGTGACATGTATGATACTCATCCGTAGAAAAAGATTTGTCTGGTCTGTTGTTCCCAGATAAGTCCAACCCTCTAAAATCGATAGGTTTAAGCTTATACTAGATTTGGTAGATATATGGACAAACGGTGATGAGAGAAGACACAGCTACTGAAGAGAGAATCCTGCCTCCTGGGTCTATTCGACTTTACTGAGCTCACACACAAAAGGATGAGTGATCTAGTCAATATAGTGGACTAGAATTTGAAAGTTTTCTGTGGTGGATTGAACTATTCATGGGTTAATAAACAACAAAGAAACAAAAATGGAAGAAACAGTAACTTTTAACAATGGAAGGAGATTTGCTGGGTCTCACTACAATTTAAGTTATTCGAGATATTCCTCAGTGATCTAGGAAAGGAAGCAAACCAAAAAGGATATTTGTGCTACCTACAAAATTACTCAGCAGCAATCAAGTTTAGAAATGACTGTGAAGAGCTGCAGAAGGCCCTCAGGACTTAAGTCCCTAGAAAAACTGGCAGTTGAAAGTCAACATTAATAAATACAAGATAACGGAGTGGGGAAACCCTACATGTGCATAGCTTGTGTAGAACTCATCATTAGGATCATGCAGAAGAACCTCTGAAAACACTAGCTTGATATTCACTATCAAAAAAGACAATCACAGTTTTAGGACCGTGGTAAAAAACAAAACCCAGCACCTTGTCAGCCTTCACAGTAGCAGAGTGTGTCCGTACGGAGCGCTGCTCTACTTGGTCTTGAAAAGTGAGAGAAGACAACAAGAGGGGCAATAGGATGCTCATGAGCACAGAACAGTTTCCGCGCCATGAGCGACTAGGTAGGCAGGAAATGTGGATATAAAAAAAGGAAAAATGAGGAGGGTGTAATGGGAAGGAAAGACTATGATAAAGATCTATTATACAAAGAAATAACGTAAAGGATGACTAGTGACAGACGATTTGCCATTTCTCCTGCAGGAGAAGTCCCAGGAAATACCCACTGTTTAAAAACTGCTGCCTAAGTCTATCAAAGTATTTCTTAGACAAGCACACAATTAAGCTGTGGAACTTACTGCCCCACAGTATTAGTAAGGCAAGAGCATTAGTGGCAAGACAAACACGAGAGGTTGCCTTTGCTGAGCCTATCTAGCCCCAAGAGGGCTATCACACTCCCCTTGGGGCAAGTGACTCTTCTGCCGATTACCAGAGGCTGGGAGTGCGCGGCAGGAGAACAACCCCTCCACATTGCCCTGTTCTTATCTTCCAACAGTGGCCGCTGGATGGAGGCTTAGGAGAGAGGACCCTGGGAGAGGCAGACTCTAATCTGATCAGCATGACAGTTCATACAGCAAAGCATAGCTAAGGTTTTGCATTATGACCTACATTCATTTAAGTGTATTGTGATTTTCAGGTCCCATTTCTACAACTGTATACATGCACTTAGTAAGCATACTTCATACACATTCATCAAGATGGGCCACTATACCCCAAAATCAGAAAGCACCAAGTATGTATTAGAAACGTCCTTCACTTTAGATCCATATTTTTCACAATGCAAGCTAACAGTGCAAGTACTCAAATGGATTTTTAGACAGATTCCTTCCAGACAGATGCAAACACTACTACCCGATACAGTTTTGAACATGAGAGGAACAGAAATTTGAACAGAGACACCCTTTAAGGCAAAACGTGGGTCTCAAAACTTAATCAGTGCATTTTTAACATTCTTACTAAAAACGAGCCTTTATTAGATACAAAGTTAACTTATAAAACATGTATTAACAGAAATACCTGAATTTAAAAGTTCGCATTTCATTACTTACGTTAATAACTCATTTGCTTTTGCCCACATACCAGGTACTATTACTCATACATGCAAGAAATTCAGACTTCACACTCAGAAGTCTGATGTTTAAGGTCAAATTGCACTTTATTTACTTTACGTAGCCTACACTAAAAACCTGGAAGAGCAAAGAAACTTACCATTATGCCACCAACTATACACCAGGTGTCAGAATTAGAGTTTTAGCTTACAGTCACACTAAAGGTACATGAAATACGATCAGTTTTTAGTTTAACCCTCTCCTTCCAAATACAACCTAAACATTCAGCTGCAGTTTTGCTTTCTCACTGCTTTGTACTTGTGCAAGCGTTACTTAGCACTGCAAGGCCCACCCTAGTGGTGCTCAGGGGTTAGTCAGAAAGCATTTGACCGCTCAAATGCATTCAGGCAGATTTCTTAAAGGAGAATGGCAATCACACACCGTCGCTTCGACTCCAATAATGCAAAACCAACTATGTAAGGATTTAAATTACTTAAAAGGCAGATTTCCACCCCGAGGAGTAGTTTTGGTTGCTAGTCAAACTTCTTCCCAACTGCCTCCCCCTAGGAAGGAAGTCTGCGGAGAACAGCATCGCACAGATCACAAGAAAGGCAGGAGAGTTGCTGGAAGAACGTTTCCCGCTTGTAGAAGCAACTGGGCCGTTTGTTTAAAAAAACATGACCCAAAGGCTTGTGTGCAGCACTTAAATATGATGTAATTAATTAGGACTGAACGCTAAGGCAGAATACCTCTGCTCTCATTTTCCATCTCAAAACAGCAATGGGAAAAGATCACTAGTATTATATGTCATCTTGGTACTCCAAGTAGTTTGCTGCGATGGCTTCCTCAAGATGAATTCCTGAGCCACCCATTAAAGCAAATGCCGGATACATTATTCCAGAGCAGTCCACCTGGCGCTCATAAAGGCATTTCATATGATCTGCATCGTAGAATCCAACCTTGCCTTTGTCATAGTCAAGGCAGACCCCTATACACGATGGCATGGGAAGGATTCTGCTCGCTGAATCTTTGGGGGCGGCAGGTGCCTTGGGGATAAAGAAACTTTTCATGCCTAAAGTGACCAGTGTAAAAGGCTGGGATGATTCAAAGCAGGTATCTTCACTCCCACTGTCATGACCACTGTCTTGTTCGTATCTAGAATAGAAAAACAACCATTTGCTTTTATCAAATCTAAAGCGTTACCAGCAATTTAAACAAGAGAAAATATTTTTGTAAGAAAGACAGGTAATACCCCACAAGCACTCAGAAAACCTCGTGCAGTAAGAATATACCTAAGCCAGACAGAAAGATGCATTTAGTAGTTGGGGAATGCTCACTTGGAACACTTCAAACAGAGTTCATGCAGGTGAACGCTAATGAGGATGCAACCAGAGACAGTTTTACAAAGGAGCTCAAACTGCAGATTTATCTAAAAACATACTTGTGAAAGGTAATCTGTAAGGAACATTATAGGAAATAAGTTAACATGCGTAGTAGTTTAGCAAATATGACTAGTCACTACAGGCAGGATATGTTTTACTTGAACATATTTACATAATATGAAACAAGTAAATATGTTTAACGTTCTTCTTGTACTATGAGTTTTCCGTATCACTGCTGTGTTGTGTTGTCTTTTAAATTCACAACACAGCATATTACGTTCCAAGTTTAAAAAATAATTTGGACTCTTTGGGGAGGTTTCCCTGAACTCCTGTTCCTAGTTGGTGACTGGGGGAAGTCCGTAGCCAGATCTGTTCGGTCTGCAATGTTTTCCCTACTTTTTTACCAAACGAAGGCAGATCAAAGAAGCATACAAAGCCATCATTCTTCTATGCATACAATTCCTAGGTGGGGTTTGGGCTTTTTTTTTTTTTTTTTTTTTTTTAAAAGATGTGTGTCAGTTAAGGGTTTCTAGATATTTGCGTGAATAAGAAAACAAGGATAAGGAAGTCAGGATTTAATTTCTCGCCTTACGAAAAGGCTCTGTCTGACCTTAAGCAACTCAAAACATTGGCATTTTTACAGTTTTAGTACGTCTTATAGGAGGAAGCCAATGCATCTGTTAGATTCCTGAAAAAGTTGCAAATCCCCAGGGTATACTTCCTCAGCCTGCAGTTCCTAGACACATCCAAGTTTACTAGAACTGTAATTGAGAGCTGGAAATCTTTTTGCTGCATTGTCCATTGTACTTTGGTTTGTGCCTAGTATCACCCCAGTACAGTCCACAAGAGTATAGCCTCAGATAAGCCAGTGACTTGGAGTCTACTGTGAAGAAAGCTACCACGAAGATAATAGAGTGAACACTGAACCTCAGAAGGGCAGGCAAACCTAGCACACTCAGGGAATTAAGGCAGGGTCTACCTACTGATGATTAAACAGTGCCTCAGTCTTGCAGCTATGGATTTTTTTTTTCCTTCTTGCTTTAATTTAATTTAATATCTTGACAAATATAGGAACATGATTTCTTTCTCCAGAAAAAAGATAAGACTCCAAGTAACTAAAGAGCAGCTGTCTACTAATGTTTGGGAAAACAAACCAACAAACCCAGCCACCCCCAAAACCAAACTCCCTCCCTCCCCAAAACAAAAACAACCCTGCATGCACCAGACCCTTCCATCTACTTTCCACTGATTAGGGTGCATATTGTTTACTGATTTAGACCAGACTTCCTCTTAATTTATTTTTTAAAAAGCCATCTGCTTATGTAGAACATGTATTACGCAAGAATCCATAATTTACCTTGGGCTGGTCACATCACGGGGATTATGGAGCCATTCCTGTATCTTGGCGCTAGACGCAACTCCCACTTTCACCAGGTACGAATGGGCTTCCACATGAAAAGCCCAGAAATGCTTCCCTTTGGCAATCCCAGTGTCGCCAATGATATAATCCAGGGTTGTATAACAGCCAACCTGTATGCGTTCAGCTCCTAGCAGCAGAGGAAATCCAGCCCTGCTTTCCAAAGAGT